CTCAGACCCCACCCACCCTGGACATCACTGCCTCAGACCCCACCCACCCTGGACATCACTGCCTCAGACCCCACCCACCCTGGACATCACTGCCTCAGACCCCACTCACCCTGGACAACACTGCCTCAGACCCCACCCACCCTGGACATCACTGCCTCAGACCCCACACACCCTGGGCATCATTGCCTCAGACCCCACACACCCTGGACAACACTGCCTCAGACCCCACACACCCTGGACATCACTGCCTCAGACCACACACACCCTGGACATCACCTATTCAGTCTTTTGCCATCAGTTAAAAGATGGAGTAACATACATGCCGGCTCAGCCAGACTCAGCCCAAAGCTCGTGCAAGGCAGAACTCCACCTGCCACTACTGATGCCATGTATATTCCCATGTCCAATTGTTTAATACTCATTTAATACTGGGTTGATTAAGCACATATGCATGTATGTCTCTGTGTATAGTATTTATGACATTACAGAGACAGCTATTACATTTCTTTGTACTTGAATAATCCTTTTGCACAATGACAAAGAAAAATCCTTGTCAGTATAGATAATGCATGTAAGGATGACCCTGTAACTAAAAGTCGATTATAAGGTTAGGCATGGAAATGATATAGATATCCATCCATCCATCCATCCATCCTCCACTAAACCTTGATGCATGGCACAGTAAGTAAAATGTAAGTCCTTTTTATAATGTGTACTATGACTACACTCTCAATTAGAGCACGGCTTCCTATTTGTATGTGCATGCGCTGAGAACGTTGCCAGTCTATGCTCTGTGCATGTCTATGCTCTGTGCATGACTGTTTACACATGCTGTGTTAAAGGTAACTTTCTGTTAAAGCCACACTTACTATGCCTCCTTTGGGTCCCGGATGACCATCCATTCCAGATACACCCTGAAATAGACAGCAAATAAAATGCAGACTATGGTATTTCATATATACCAAGGTTTCAGATACCTTTGCGGAACGGAATCGATTCCTTGTAATAAGGGACACTCCAAGCAGGAAGTTCTCACTTCATCAACTATGATGTTAAAGTAAATACAGAAATATAACGTATATGTATGTTATTTTATAGGGTGAATATTGGTTAAGTGGAACAAAGGGTAAAGTAGGACACATGTTTGATTCACTGTATCTGTACACCACTGTCCTCTATTAACTTAAGCTCAGTTCTTGAGCTTTCGACAATACTTTTATGTTGTAATGTGTATTTATAAATAGTATCATATTTTAAAGTGAGAAAGTACAATTTCAAAAATCGTCCCAGTTTAGCAATTTCCACAGTATATATTCATGTGATAAAGGAATCCAGTGTTATTATTTATTTATTGGAAGAACTGCATTTAGAATTAAAGAAATACTTACTGGAGATCCAGAAGGTCCTTGGGGTCCTTTTGGTCCCAGTAACCCACGAGGCCCCTGAAAAGTACATTTAGAAAAGCGAGCTGAACATCTGGGCAGCTGTAATTTCCTATTCCAAGCGGAGCACCATCACCCTCCTCCCTGCCTTCTCCACATCCAACCCACATCACCACCCTGCTGCAAGGATGAAGTCACAGCCATAAAAACTCTTCATGTTAGTTTCATGTTAAAAAGAACCAAGACAGAGGTCTGTCTATTATATTATACAGTGATTACAGTTTAAACAAAACATAGTCTGCCCTCAGATGGATATTTGCTGGTACTGCAAAGGGAAATTTCTGCCTTTTATCAATGTGACCACAGGGGCAGCCTCTCCTTAGGAAGCTTCCTCTGTCACTTCCCTTTCTAGACAATTCCAATCAAGCATAAACAATCAGAAAAACAAAACATGCCAAAAGCATTCATGCATATAATCTTATAAGAATATATCTCGTGCCTATGATAGAAATCAAAGAATGGATTTAACATTGATAAGTCCATTACTGGGCTTTATATGTATGAACCTTCCTGTGTGATTTTGTGGAATTTATATCACCATCACAAAGGCAATGAAAATCCATAAAATATGGGTATAAACAAGGGCATTCAAGAATAGTCTCTTATGCATATTTAACAAGTTTCTCTGGGCCAGAAAGATTCTAAGCTTCAGAAATGTGAAAATTGAAATGTTTAGAATTTAAATACCAACAAATTTAAGTGCAAGAAGCTTATGATGCTGTGTAATTACTTTAAGATCAAAGGCTGCAGTTGTTAATCAGATGCAATGGCAGACATAACCAAAGTTGAGTGAAAGATCTGAGAAGAAGCTTTTTTGAATAATAGTCACTCACAGGATCACCTGGCAGCCCTCTTGGTCCAATCTCACCGTCATCACCCTGCAAAAGGTGGGAATCGCTAATTATTATAAAGTAATGCTTACTGCATGTAAGTAATGCAGTATAATAGTAATCTGTATACGATATATTATATCATTATCACAGTTAAGTGAAACACTTAAAGATACTGATCATGGTCTAGAGTCTAGGGAAAGGCAGGGGCAGGTAGTACAATAATGACAAGCAATGAAGATTATGGGAACAATTATAGGAAAAGAAAAGTAGGCAAATAGGAAAAGAACTGTTAAGAAGAACAGGGAGTTTAAAAAGCAAAAAGCATTGCCAGGGAAAGTTAAAACGAGAAAACAGCGGAAGAAACAGCATTTTGGAGACAATGATGCATGAAGAAAGGGGGGGGGGCTCTAACCCTTTCACCATCCTCTCCTGAAGGTCCGGGGGGGCCTTGTGGACCTGACTCGCCCTACAGTGCAAATACAGACACAGAGACCGCCATTAGACCTCTATAAGTCTGCACGCACTACAACAAACATCACCTCATTCCGGATAGAGAAATAGTGATTATGTGGACAAGACAAATCTCAATAACATTCTGTTTCTCCTCTCTCATTATAAAATCAAGGCTGTGAATGATGTTCATTACTGCAGCTGTGAGGCGACCCCCTGTCATCAATCATAAGGGCAGAAACAACAGACCACTGTAGCTTTAAAACTATGACAGTTATTTCAAGTTCTGTAGGGATTTCGAAATTAAAGTTATCAAAGTCTTTATAGCAGACAGTCCCCATATCTTAGGCAGCACGTCAGCCTCGTTCAGTCTTGAATGCTCTGTAGTTTCGTTCCTACTGGACTACATACCACAAAGGTGAGCATAGGCTTTATCTTGAAAATGAGTAATTGTTGGAGAATGACAAAAAATGGAAACATAATGAATGAGAAAAGGATAGCTAGCTTAGCTAACAGAATATCTCGTACAAATTGCCACACGCTCTTTTGTTGATTATTTTAGTGTAGCTTTCAGCTGACAGAGGGAAAATATTCATGATAATGATTCAATAAAAGATTGACCATTTTTCCTTCTCTCAGTAACCTTGGCCTGCACACAGCTTCTCAGATTAAAGGCCTATCGATAGAATTCAGATTAACATTTTTATTAGGTATTGTTATACCAATAGAATAATCTGTGATTCTTCAAACATTACAGAATGGGGTGTGGCTTTCACAAAAGACAATACGAATTTCAGAAAGAAACAAGGAAAGGAAACAAATTCTTACTCTGTGGCCCTTTTCACCAGGCAAGCCGGCCAATCCATCAAACCCTCTCTCACCCTGTTCCAGAGACAGAAGTCTTGGTCGTAATTATGATAATGAAAATACATTAGAATACTCCATACAAAAAGGAGACAGCAGATAACTCAACTTTACATAAGTGAATATACCACCAAAACAGCACTGTTCTTTTTCACCAGATCCTAAAAGCATATTGTCCATTAGGTCTAAGTCAGGATATGAAGAAAAGCATCTCTGGTTAAAGTCTTATACTAATTGCTCATGGCAAATGGATTGCACGCATTACCTTTCCCCCGGTCTGTCCTGGCATCCCCCTTGCCCCATCTGCTCCAGCGCGACCCTAGAACAAGAGAGACAGTCCTTAAATATGCCATATCTCACATAATGTTTATGCGCCATACCTCACATAACTATGCGCCATACCTCACATAACATTTATGCGGCATGCCTCACATAATGTTTATGCGCCATACCCCACATAACGTTTATGCGCCATACCTCACATAACGTTTATGCGCCATATCTCACATAACGTTTATGCGGCATACCTCACATAACGTTTATGCGCCATACCTTACATAACGTTTATGCGCCATACCTTACATAACATTTATGCACCATACCTCACATAACGTTTATGCGGCATACCTCACATAACATTTATGCGCCATATCTCACATAATGTTTATGCGCCATACCTCACATAATGTTTATTTGCCATATCTCCCTACTGAACCACATAATCTGCTTTGGTAACAAAAGAAATTTCCCTTCATGGGATTAATAAAGTTTACCTAATTTAATACATGTCCCCAGGAAAAGCTTAACATTGGCAAATTATAAGACATATTTCAGATCTGACGATTGTTGACTTCTGGAAGGCCCACACTGTCACCCCTACTGCACCTCAAGGGCTCTGTGATGGAGTTGGTCAGCACCACCTTATTCCTTGGAGTACACTTGGCAGCTGACCTCACCTGGACCCTGAACACCACCTCCTCATCCAATAAGGCCCATGCTGTCCATCTCCACTGCACATTGATGGCTCTGTAGTAGAGCTGGTCAACAGGACCTTATTCCTTGGAGTACGCTTGGCAGCTGACCTCACCCGGACCCTCAACCTCCCCCCCCCCACCCTCTTCCTGACCATGTTTTACAGGGGAACCCTTGACAGTGTCCTGATTGGCTGTATCACTGTCTGACTTGGGAACTGCGACATCTCTGACTGCCAGACCCCACAGTGGATAGTGAACACAGCTGGAAAGATCATTGGGATCCCTCTACCCTTCACTGCGGACATCTTCCTTGAGCACTGTCCACAGCATTGTGGAAGCCCCCTTCCGCCCCCTCTCTGTCCCCCTCCCATCTGGCAGAATGTACAGGAGCATCCAGGCATCCTCTGCCAGGCTCTGCAATGGCTTCTTCCCCAAAGCTGTTAGAACTCTGAACTGTTTATTGGTGCCGTTATAAAGCTGCCTTACCACCAGCACTAGCCACCAGACCCAGTGGACACTGCCCAACACTGCACCGTTTCCTACATCTGTGCCACATCTGTTGTATTGTCACATCTATTTATTAGTAGTACTTGCTATTTCTAGTCACCACCGTATCTGTTATACTGTGTGGCTAAACCTAGCTCCCCAATGTGTTAGTGTATGTACTGTATATTCCCTATTTTTATTAATTATTATTCTCCTTAATAAATTGAATAGGTGAGCATATCACCACTGCTAAGCCTCTACATGTTCATTCAGATCCTAAACATATATTATTTGTAGTCTTATATTTCATTCTTAGCTGGAAATTATGAGTTAGAGAGGTTAGTGGGAGAACTATTGCATCTGTAAATGACATATTTTAAACAATACAATTTCAAAACATTTTGGCTGTAGTTTTTGTAGAGTGCTTCTTCTTTCGACATAAGGGACGCAGGTAGAGCTTTGTGTTCCCTGTCGCTGACGGGGCAGGCAGGACGTATTAGTAGGCCATCCGGCCTGCCTCCCTTCTGGCAGGACGTGTTAGTAGGCCATCCGGCCTGCCTCCCTTCTGGCAGGACGTGTTAACAAGCCGTCCGGCCTGCCACCCTCCTGGCAGGACGTGTTAGCAGGCCGTCCGGCCTACCTCCCTCCTAGCAGGACGTGTTAGCAGGCCGTCTGGCCTGCCTCCCTGCTGGCATTCCTCCATGTGCTCTCCCTGTAGCCTGAGAGATGGCTCTTCGCCATGCAATCATGCAAACCCAAACAGTGACTCACCCTTCTGCCGGACTTGCCGGGTGGGCCAGAGGTCCCCGGAGTGCCACGTGGTCCCTAAAAAACAGAGCAAGAAAAAAGCAAAACACTGACTTAAAGCCAAAATCCACGTTGCTTTTGTGCATTACCATGTTTACTGTACATGGTATTCTGAGTTCGCGATTAGCTGCATAACCCTTAGATAAAAATTTCAATAGATACTAATAAAATGAAAGCAATCTAATGATGATGGCGGTGTAGATAGTCCTGTTGAATTCACCTCTACTTCACTTTTCAACACATAAATAGTGCCAACAAAACTTCAGATCATTACACATCCTGACCACTAGGGGTCCAAATGCTAACTGAAAAGCCTGTACCTGGGGGCCAGAGTCTCCAGACTCTCCTTTCAGTCCATTTACGCCTGGAGGGCCCTGCAAAGGAAACAGACTGCAATGTCACTGTCCACCCTGATTCTCAGTATCACCAAGTTACATGCAGCACCAATATTACCCCAAGAAACAAACCCTAAACGGCTTAAGTGGCATCATGTAGCACCACTGACACTCCAGTTACTTTTCCTGTTTCTAAGGAAACAGTTATAAACACATAAACAGGGTAATTATCTCAAGCATTACAGGTTGGCGGCATTTAATGTGGAGGAAACGCCTGGCTATAACAGCCAAGTTACACTGGGAGATAGAGAGGGGTGAGCAGAGAGCTACGTACCAAAGGACCAGGCCTTCCAGTCAGACCCATGGGACCAGTGGGACCTCTCATCGCCAGCTGTGGAAGCAAGTCAGGCGACACATCTGAGGACACCGGCAACATGCATCTGCACCAAACACTGATGATTTTAGATAAGTATTTTGTCTATTTGTACTGTATAATCTCAAAAGAACCTATAGCTGGATATTGCCCTACATGTGTGTGTGTGTGTGTGTGTGTCTGTGTTCCAGTCAGACACAATGTGATGGAAACCTGTTAATTTGACGCTGGGGTGACCATTTTTTCTAAACATTTTTATAAAAATCTGTGACTGCAATCAAAAATCTAAAAATGTCTAAACATTTTATTTAGTTACTCATGTTAAAGGTTAGGGCTAAGGGTTAAGGTTATCATTGTTGGGAGCGAAGTTCTTCCCACAGAAATGAAGAGACGGTGCCCACAAAGATATGAATACAAACAGGTGTGCATGTGAGTGTGTGAGTCTCGGTGTGTGTGTGTGTGTGTGTGTGTGTGGATGGGTCATGTATATATGCCACACACTCACCCTGGCCTGCTGCATCATAGCCTGCATCTGGGCTTCCTGTGCCGACACAGCAGGTCCCTTCTGGCCAGAATCTCCTCCAGCACTGAACCGGAACTGGCAGAGAAGGTCAGTGGGAAAAACATACTAATTATACCAGGAACATGAAGGAATAAATTCTCAATGAAGGAGTGAAGCTACACAGAGATCCCCTTTGCAGCCTAATGTTGTTATAGATCCATTCACTGTAACATTCTACCTGTGTTCTTATTGAAGAGGAAAGAACAGTACAATAAATCATGCATAATACATCGTTTGTAGATATTAATTACAGATGAAATGTTTAACATTGCAGGAGGCCTCAGCAGGTCATTTACTGCATGCATTTAAATCTGATATTATATATCAATGGATATTGTTTTAATACAGGACAAAAACATAATTATTTATATGCAAACAAATCATATATAAATCAAGAACAAACATTTGTTCATGCTCATACATACTCTGATATAATTGATGAAATGTATATTCATTTCCGTACCATGTTTCATTAAAAAATTAAGTATTACAGTAATTAAATCGTGTATAAACGTAAGGTAAACAGATTTTTAAACCTTTTTTTCCCAAAACAAGCCCTTTAAGTAAATTATTAATAGATATACCGATGTCTGATAGCACCTCAGGCTCCCTGTCGCGCTTCAGACACATTGCCTTTAGGCTTTTGCTACCACCTGGAGGCTAGCGAGCATTACTACAGTGCAGCTCTTTTTATACATACTGGAACCATTTCAAGCCATCGAGCTAGAAAATACTGACACAGGTGAAATGCGTGAAATGTTAGCATGGCAACAGTATACTGGCAAAAATGGGAGTATATATCAGGCTATGAGAATATTCAGCTTTAAATGGGAGATTCAGGATCAAATCAAAACAATTACTCTAACCTTTCCTGGATTCTATAAAACACTAGACATACTGTATGACGGGTATCAGACAAGGAAATAGCCTGAATGCAGGGCATCCATAATCCCTTGTTATGGGTAATATAGCAATGCTAGTTGACCATATTCTGGAAATGTGGTGGGAAACTGGAATGCAACAAGGTGAGAATATGCAAACACAGAGAGCCAAGAGCAGGAAATGAGCTCCAAACCCTAGGGGCGAGGCCACAGTGCCACCCAACGTGCCATCACACCTCCTATATGAGCTACATGGACCAAAGTATTGGGACACCTGCCCATTACACCTAAAGGGACCTTTGTGACGCCCCATTCTAAATCCATAGGCCTCAATATGGAGTTGGCCCCACTTTGCAGCTATAACAGCTGCCACTCTTCAGGGAAGGCTTTCTACGAGATTTTGGAGGGTTTCTGTGGGAATATTTGCCCATTCATCCAGAAAAGCATTTGTCAGGTCAGGCACTGATGTTGTAGGTGAAGGCAAAGCCTGCAAATTCTGTTCTAGTTGATCCCAAAGGTGTCCGATGGGGTTGAGGTCAGGGCTCTGTGCAGGTCAGTAAAGTTCTTCCACACCAGATTCACCCAACCATGTCTTTATGGACCTTGCTTTATGCACTGGGGCACAGTCACGCTGGAACAGAAAAGGGCCTTCCCCAAACTGCTCCCAAAAAGCTGATGGAACAGAATTTGTCCAAAATGTCTTGGCGTGATGAAGCATTAAGAATTCCCTTCACTGGAACTAAGGGGCCGAGCCCAACACCTGAAAAATAACTCCAAACCTCACAGCTGGCACAATGCAGTCAGGTAGGTAACATTCTTCTGGCATCCGCCAAACCCAGACTCATCCACTGTACTACCAGGCAGAGAAGTATGATTCGTCACTCCACAGAACACATTTCCTCTGCTCCAGAGTCCCATGATGGCATGCTTTACATCACTCCATCCAACACTTGGCATTGTGAGTGCTGATGTGAGGCTTGCATGCAGCTGCTCAGCCATGGAAGCCCATTCCGTGGAATATCTAGCTAGGAATAAATTTCATGAACGAACTAATTGCAAAGGTGGCATCCAATGACAGAACCGTATTTGAATTCACTGAACTCTTCAGAACAACCCATTCTTTCAGAAATGTTTGAAAACCTGACTGCAAAGATTGATTTTATACACTTGTCACAAGGGTTCTGAATGAAACACCTGACTTAATCGACTAAGAGGTGTGTCCCAATACTGTCCATATAGTGTATATTTAGGAGGTGGTTACCTCTCCTGATGGAACCAGGCTCTAGCAGGAGGAAGCCGATGGAAACATATTGAAGGACTCAATCTACAGGCCTTCTCCTGCCAGCATTCTCTCTCTCAGGAGGAACAAAACAAACCGAACAGTCTGGCCTCTCTCCAGTTTCTGTCATGGCTCAATATCATAACACATTGCCACTGGCCATTTCAGTTGTAAAAAAGGAACTGCCGGGCATCTGTTTATGCCTTTTTCATACGGTACGACTCCACACTGTGCCACATCATGCCCTGAGTGAGAATGACATGGCAGGCTGACAAAAATCATCTATGGTGGACCCAGTTGTCCCACTTATAGCGTCCCAGTATCACATGACATTTACAGGAGGTGGAATTTGAGCCGAACACATTTATCAAATGTGCTGCTGTAAGCTGAGGAAGGAGCTTTAAGAAGGAGCTTTAAGAAGGAGCTTTAAGAAGGAGCTTTAAGAAGGAGCTTTAAGAAGGAGCTTTGTTTTGTATAGAGGTGTCAGATCTAATGAAGACTGGTCCATACACTTAGCATCTTATCCAGAAGCAGGTTAATGGAGTACAGAATGTAATAATGGCATTATAGGGAACTGATGACACGTGTGACAGTTCTGGGCTGGAGGTCATTAAAACTGCTGAAGGGTATGTAAAGGGGATATTAGTGGCATTTTTACCGATGACATCACCATAGTGAGCTCTGCAGAATGAGGGTAAGCAAAGCTTTTTTGCCATAGAGGTAACCGAGCCTAAATTTATTTTGCTATTGAACTCACGTGTTGTGAGAATCACTGAACAATGTTTCACTGAAATCCCAGCATAGTTCCTGACATTTAGGAATGGTTTCAAGTCCTGTGATTTTGTTAATGGTCACCCCAGAGGGACAGACAATTTTTTTTTTTTATCAGACTTTACTTTATTTGCTGGAATTGAACATTATAACTATACAAAGCATGATATTGTCAAAACTTTACAGAAGGTTATGTATTACAGAGTCGAAGCCACGACTAGCTGAAAATACTGCCAATGATGAATGATATTGTATGTATAGTATTTTCTTGGTCCTACCTGGAATAATTAAAAAAGCTGTACGGTAATTCTTACACTAAATGATTTGGGAACTACTGACATAAGTCAAGGCTGTACCTGGCAGAAACAGCAGTGAGCCTGGAGCTCCTGTTAATTGATCCTGATGCATTAATATCAGTAGGTAATGTGATACCCTTCAGCACATTTTAAAATGACTAAGCTCCCACTTTGATTTCATGAATGATATCTTCAGAGGCAACTTCTGAAGTCTTTTTGAAGATGAGCCAAAAGTTCTAATGTTTAATTTTGTGGATAACCAATGCTTCCTCATATTACACACGGGGCTTTTTTTGTGTTATGCAGTCAACACTTCCTTTGTGGCACATTGGGAAAGGAAGAATTCTTAACGGCAAAACAAAAAAACAAAAAAAATCCAGGGACAAAAGAAGAATTCCTATTCCACATGTTTACCCATAGAATCCAATTCCTTCGATATTTCTGCATGAGGAACCTGGCAAGCCAAGACCCTTAAAAACATTGCTGTGTTTAATAATATACATTTCTGCAATGCATAAGGAAATTATCCACCAGGTGGTGCTAAAGAAAATAAAAACTTGCCAAAAAGTCTGGTATTTTGTCTGGTTACTTATGGTGAAGGTTAAGGCAGGGTTTGGGGTTCAGGTCATCATGTTAGGGTTAGAGTTTTTCCCATAGAAATGAATGGAGATTCCCCACAGTGTGTGTGGGTGTGTGTGTGTACATATGTATATTTTTTAAATATAGGTTGTATACATAATGTAAAATTGTGTGATTGTTTGTGCGTGTCTATACATGCACCCAATCACACTTCTAAGCAAGCTAGAGTACTTAACACTATTATGTCAGTAGAAAATACATTTAAAAAATAAATAAGGGCACGGAAAATTTATACAGCCAGATCATGAGCAATGTGTTGGCGTGATACAAGATTGGCGTGATACAAGATTGGCGTGATATCTATTTACTTACAGGCAGCATCAAGACGGTCCCTGGGGGGCCTGGGAGACCGTCAGCACCTGGCAAGCCTGGTCTGCCAGAAGGACCCTACAGCACAAAACCCACACATACAGAAACGACAGGAAAAGGATACAATTTATATCCTAAAGTTATATAACAAGTTAATCAACAATTTAGAATTTAACAATAATATTTTTAAGACTGTTCTCATATGTTGAAATAGGAGATTATTGCATTTACTTGTTGCCTATGTCTTTAGTAAACATTTATCTACATCAAATAATAAGTGGTGTTTGTATTTCATGAAAATGTAAATAAATTGTCTATATTGTCATGGTATACCCTGGACCTCACTGTCCAGAGTGCCAAACAATGCATTGAAATGTTGTCTGATATATCGGATGGTGATCAACTATCTTTTGTTTGTGTTCTAATAAGAGTATAATAATAAAGAGCCCCTACCCTCTCCCCGGGATCTCCGGGGCTGCCTGGGGGGCCAGATGATCCTGGGGAGCCTGGCAGTCCCTGAAAACCACATCAACTGCTGTTGCATGACATGGACTACTTACATGTGCAACACAAGGGTTAGGTGTTAAACAGCCATTTTTAACATAGATAATACCTTCTCTAATTAAGGCAGAAATGGAATGTCTTACTTAACACTGAGGATTACTGCCATCACATTAATGCAAGCTCTCAAACAATTCGGACAGTTGACAACGAGACTCTCAAATTCTCATCATACTCAACATATCCATGAAAGCAAGCTAATCCCACTTCCAAGGGACATTCTATGTGGGAATAACCACAGGGCTACAGTATTTATTACAGCAGAAATAACTGTGGAACCGTCCCATTCTACTTTACTATGAGTTTTTTTAGCTATTGCTGCTAGGATCCATATTCCCCAGGACCACTTGGGTCAAATGTATGACAAGAGTTTGCAGTAAATAATTCTGAAAATCCAGACATCCTCAAACATTCTCAGCAGAATGCCACTCACATAACTTTCATCCACGGTTTCCGCAGTGCCTCTGTTGTAGATTAGATGATAAAAAATTATTCTATCCCATATGTCACTGTTTATAAAGTTCAATCAGAGTGTTTTGACAGACCATGGTCACTGCGGAAATGAAGCATGAATGTGTCTAACAATGTGCAGGACTGAAGCAGGGGGGTGGGGGTGTCACAGCTGGGGGAACAGTTATCAGGAGCTGTTGAGAGGACCACTTACTATGGGCCCTTCGGGACCGGGGGGCCCCTCTACAAGCATACCCTGCAAAACAAAGCAAAAGAAACCAGCCATTTTTATTTCATTTTTGAGGAAGACAGCAAAGGGCAAACAACCAGAGAATTTGCATCAGTTCTAGAAGACAAACCACACTTACATTTCTGCATAGCTGCCTAGTCTTTTTTTACTATATAAATGGTGAAAGTAAAAAGGTGCAAAGATATATTAGCTAATAATTGCTAAGTACCCCATAGCATATGTCATCCAAATTGATGTACCCATATTTTTTACCTTAATGTTACACATAACAATTAATGTTAGCTTACTGTAACCTAAAGGTACAATAGTACAATTTCTACTTCTGATTTGAAACCAATTAGCCACAAGTTATGAAGTCCCTTGAGAGTATGTTGGGGGAGGGGGGGGAGGTGGTGCCTCAAGACACTATGCAAGTGGCAGCTGATCTGTCACTTCACCCCTCCTCCGAGCGACAGTTCTCTTCCCCTTTGAGTCTCTTTTACCTGTGGTTTTATTTAACCTCTGATCTATTCAGCATCATCTTGGAAAAAACCTGACACATTTCTGACCATTCAGCATAGCTAACTGGAAATTCTAACTGTAAATGCTAACTGGGAATGCTAACTGGAAATGCTCGGTGAAAAGCTATGACTCTTTTCCCATCTTGCAGCACAGCTAGCATCATAGGACAATAGACGGGAAGTACTAAGATGAATAAGCCTTGGATACTGAAAGTGCATCTGCACATATACATAAACATACATATAGTTTTTATTGTTATTCATTTGTATGCACAACAAGGTGGTGCATTTCCAGGAAAAATGAGCGGCTCCAGGTAGAGCAGTATGACCAGTAAATCTCCACCCAACCGCATGTAGTTACGCCTCCAACATAAAAGTGTGTGTGTGTCATGTTATCTAATATAAGCTCTTTCAAACGCTACTGAGATATTACTGTGGCATCTTCACTGTCTCTAAAATAAAGTTTCTGAGTGGGAATATTGATTGTGGGCGGTCTGAAATGGTTCTATTTATTTGCTAGTTTTTTTGCTATAAAGTTGCAAATGATGAGGAGGGTATTAAGCTGGATATTCACTGGGTGGTGTTATGAATACAGAACTATAAAAGGAAGCATGTGGTCAAGAAACAATAAGACATTTGAAATTCTCTTGTACAGAAAATCCATTCCAGGTAAGATCAGCACACATCAGCTTTAGCCTGTGAACCAGCCATCAATAAGCAAACCTACTCACAAGCAGATCATCTATGGACAATTGCAGAGGCCTGTTCCGCTGTCATTTGACTGGATTCTTTTGAACCAATTGGTCTTTAATGGAAGGTGGGAAATAGCTGCCGAGCTCAGTGGTCCTTTTTATAGAGAAACGTCAGCCCAATGCAGCTCTGACTTGCTTACAGTACAGCAAATGCTGCATACAGTAGTTACAAATAAAAGCAGCACGCCTAGTACCCTGCTGCTAGGAAAAGTGTCTTTGCTTGAAAGGTAATGTAATATTCCTTCACAATAAAAATCAAAGCTGAATATACAATAAAATATAATTAAGGAAAAAGATTAAAATGATTCACATCAGTCGATTATACAAAAAGAATAGGTTAGGATATGGACAGACGTTATTTATACATGTACAGCATCATGTGCCTGGCCGTTCTTTTTTCACACGGAACCTTGCAGTTCCTTTATAAATCAATTGTCTGTGAACCATATAAAGCCTTTGAGGTATTTTTGATGTCAGCCATTCCATAGTTTACTCCTGGCTGTGTTTATTCAAACGTCTGTCTGTTTTGGCATGAAAAATCCTCTAACGAAGTCACATTTTAAATGTTTAGATTTTAGCACCGCTGCTTTGTGTATGTGTGAGGCAACGGCCTCTCTGTCTGTGCTCTCTTTGTCTCTGCATGTGTTTTAGGATGGATACTTACCGGCTCAATGATGGCTGGCTCTCCCTTCTGACCCTTTTCTCCTCTCATTCCATCAACCTTATACAGGAAACACAAAAATGAGATATCACTCTATAGTATTTTTAATGTAGCCCTGCACGTTTACTGTACTATATTTATTGTCCTTGAAAAAATGTAGAGATTAAATATCAATCTGCTTTTCATTTGACATTTCTTCATTCACAGACTTGTTCTTGTGTTCTTTTTTATTGAATGAATAAATGGCTCTACGAAACAGTCTACATTCAAGCGAGCTGCTGAGGAACCTGCCTGGCCATGTTGCTCATCAGTGACTGCAGGTAGCTCATAGGTATAATCATCAACGTCATCGTAGGACGTGTTTAAATCCTCAGTTGTTATGGCTTCTTCCGTGAAATCTTCGTAATTTTCATGCCCGGTGCCCCCCTGGCCACTGGCAGCGCTCCCTGCTCTCCTGGAACTGCCACCGGCGCTTGACGAGCCGCCTCCAACACTGGCAGAACCACTGGTGGAACCACCTCCAATGCTGACAGAACTACCCCCAGCAGAACCACCTCCGATGCTGACAGAACCACCAGCGGAGCCACCTCCGACTCTGACAGAACCACCAGCGGAACCACCTCCGATGCTGACAGAACCACCAGCAGAACCACCTCCGATACTGACAGAACCACCTTCAGCAGAACCACCTCCGATGCTGACAGAACTGCCTCCAGTGCTGACCGAACCACCACTGCTGCTGGTTGAAATGCCACCTTCAGGATTGTACTCCTCGTAGTCGTACTTGTAGTAGTCATAATTGTCAACCTGCTGATGGGAGCAAAGGATATAACAATATATTACCCAGACACAACTAGGAAATGTCATAGGTAAAGTTCATCAACAACATAACCCCGATCTATTCACTACTTCCACTCTTTGCTTTCATGCTGATGAACTAAGGTTGGTACTAACATGGGTGCTGTTCTGTGTGATGGTGACTGTCGTGTGCCCATCTCCTGTGATGACCTTCTTCTCTAGCTCTCCTCCAAAGCCCAAGTCAATCCTGCTCCCGAGTCCCAGATCCACTTCAGTATCAGTAGACATCCCGTGGTCCACACTGCCGCTAATCGTGATCCTCCTAGATGGCTTGGGAGTCGACATATGTTCGTCGTAGTAGACGTAAGAATCCTCGGTGCCATAGTCTCCGATATCTGTGGTGTGCTCCTCAGTTCCTGTTGCCTCCCCTGGTACCTCCCTTACAGTCGATGGAAGCTCCTGGCCGCCATCTGGAGCTGTAAATTCTACCTGAAACAAGCAACCAAATGCATTCGGACAATAACGCGACAAAGACAAAAAACGAGTAGCAAACGTGGCAGACACAGAACTATAGGCAACCCAAAACATGCATACCTCGCTGTCCTCCGTTACAGTCCCTGTTACGTCTGGATTGAGGGAGGACACCTCCTCAGATTCCTTTTCGTAGTACTCATAAGGATACTCGTAGTAATAGTTGTTCTCGGGGTTCTGAGAGCATAAGGATAAAATGCAATTTTTGTTCACCATCCACAAACACGTGTTGATCCATCCATCCATCCATCTATCCATTTTCTGTACCCGCTTGACCTATGCAGGGTTGTGAAGCCCCATTATGTATCCTGGAAGCTACAGACACAAGGCAAGGAATAACCCAGGATGGGGTGCCAACCCACTGCAGGGCATGTACTTATCAATGGAAATTAGGAACCCAGACCCAGGTTCAAAACTTCAAAATATCCTAAAGAGCATAAAACCCCCCAAAATACAAAACTTTAAATCCCTCATACAGTAATAATAATATTTTCCAATCATAAACCCTAATTTTTTTCTGTTCATCTTAAGGCCACAAACATGTATCGAAACAAGCAGCATTTTCAAATACTGGCAAATCGAGACAAAACTACTTTGAAGTCGAACTGTAGCTGTCTAAACAGACATTAGAAAAAAAATCACTTCCTCGCAAGACTTAATAGTAAAACTGGTCTTCTGTAAGGGAAGAACTGTGCATTTATCTGTACATAAATCTAGCAAATAATTGATGTATGTCTGATCATTAACCCTCTGATGAGTTATAGCGCTGTAATTCACTAAAGACTAACATACTGCGAAAAATGTATCCTGCTACACTGAACCTGGATTCCTCCAAACTAGTCTAGACTGGATTAAAGGAGCGGTGAGGTCATCTTCGGGACAGCAGTGGGCGGAAAAAAGTGTGGCACGGTGGAAGCAGCTGCGCTTTGCGGGGAGTGTGTTTCATGTCAAGGCCGCTGACTAGCTGAGGCACCGTGACTTAATTAGGATATAGCAGGACGCAGAACGCGAAAACACAGCCCCACTTACGAGAGGGGGCCTTGGGATGCAGGCTTTAACAGGCTTTTAACTGAGTGCTTCCAATGCGTCATCTCACTCAGAAATGAAAGTCAGCATTTCCCACTGCCTGTGGCTCTCGATCAAATCCCTTCCATTCTCAGCGCCCAATTTATTCGGATTTATCCGGCTGACGAAAAATCCCCAGCGGAGTGCCACGGAATGAAATAAAACTTTGGAACCTAACATAACCTGCCACTGAACTGGGTACTGGGCAAAGAGGCACTAGTCTGTCGCATTCTATCAATGAAGGCAAAGCTTTTAGGAGGCGCTCACCTTCTCATTGGGGTTGGGATCTTGGTTCTGGGGCGTATCTGGAACAGCCATGTCGCAGTCAGGACTGTAATGCTCGCAGTAGTCAAAGGCGGCTCGGTGGTCTGCTACAATCATCAACTGTTGGATATCTCCCTGGGAAGAACAAGAGCAGACAAACAAACATCTCAAAGCAGGAACAGAACACAAATATACCCTCTCCTCATTTTTGTTACAGAAAAGCTCTCCTGATACTTTTTTTTTCACACTGATGGAATATTAACCAATCAACACAGACTCTATAGCCCATAGAGAAACACAAGCAAGACAAAAAGTAAATTAGCAGCAAATCTGGAGATGAGACTTTGCGTATTAGTGCCTGCTTGTGTTCGCATAGCCCCTTCTCATTGCCATGACGTTAAAGCAAAGCACACAATGTAAGTTTCAACAGCGATAATAAAAATCAGCATCATTTTGTGGTTAATGTCATACATTTAAAGGCAACCGACCAATGAATCGGTGTTCATTTACGCAAGTGAACAAACTAGCAGGCAAAAGCATGAAAAAGAGAAAGTTGGGGCTGTGACTTTGCAGGCTTTTGTCTTTCAGCTGCAGGCCCTGCAGGCTACATGGGGAGCAGGGTGCACGTGCTCTGCTCTGAGTCACGCACTGAGGAGTCTCTCGCGATCTCAGCACTGAATGCCAGGGAGCCAGCAGTGTAGTCAGGGCAGTGCAGACAGGAGAAGGTGTTATCAAAGGGACCCAAGAAGGGCTGCTTTACTAAACTCTGCAGCAAGGTGCATAATCTGAATTCCTTCAGTCCTATTAAAATGAAGACCATGCACGTCTGTACACATTGTCAAGTTGCTTTTGAAATAGGCACTTTTATAACAAAGCAGCATATATAAACCTCTGCAGGCAGGGTGACGGTGTCTTAACCTCAGACCACAAATGAAGTAAACTCTGCTGATAGAGAGTGAGGCTAATGACTCAGTACTAGTTTAACCATTGTCCCATAAATACAGAAAGACACAGCTACAGACACAGCTGTCCTTTTTACACAGCAGCTACATAACAACTGCGTAATCACAAATTTAAAAAGAACAGCATCACTAGCATGTATAATTGTTTTGTATTCATTCCTACATCTATGTATTTCTGGTATGCAAGATAAAGAAAAGCTGTGTCCGAGTGGGTTTTAAAAATGACTCTGTTCAAACTCTCCAATCAAAATTAAACATTTAGAAACAAATATTTGCAATAAATATACATTATAGGTGTATCAGATGTTCAATAAGCAAAGGCATGTTCAGAGACTTTTTGTGTTTTCAGGTTTAAAAAGAAATATGAAACCTGATTCTGTAATAATGTAGCTAATCTTGTGGCTTAAAATGGTAATGACAGAAAACTGCAAAACTAACAATCAGACATATATAATAGCTCATGGCTTATTCTTCAAGAGAAGAGATTAGGTTCAAATGCAACATTAAAGGGTATTTGCCCAACTAATTCTGATGGATATTAGTTGCTGAACCTAGAAATACATCCTTTCAGTCTTTGGGGATTTCTAATACTCATTTTTTAAAACCCAGATGGTAAATGACTCATTCCCACAGCATGAGGACACAGCAGACACAGTATGCTAGCAGTATGCCAAAGATGTGCAGTAAGACAGTGACCCTCCAGGAAGAGTAAGATAAATGTAGCCGAACTCTGTAGCTTGTAGCTATTAATGCTAATTTATCCCAGCTTTTTCGGACCCATTTATCATAGTTCATGCAGTACAGACACTGCTACGGAAATGAGAACACCACCACTAACTAACTAACTAACTTTTCTTAAACACTTACCAAAGAGGTTCTGTCATACGAAACATTTCTACAGTATATGCTTGTGCATGTTATATATTCCAATACCTCACTTCCCTGTTTGTGCCAAAGCCCAAGGCTATCTCACTTTTATTGCAATCTGTATTTGGCTGCCAATAATTTAAGGTTAATGGACACTGAAGTACTGCCAGAAAAGGCCGCACAAGAAAGAAATCTTCATCATGTACTGCATTGTCTTTTGTTTTTCTTAAATGCTGTGGGATATTCAATTATAGAAGATTTGGTATTAATAACAAGCAAGTGTTCAATCAATTATTGCTATGATCCCTTTTTCACTGACATGACATTGTCCCTGATTTTGACTAATTTATTCTCTTGTTTTCAGTGATAAGTATTGTTTTCCAAAGAAAACAAGATGGCACAAGAATAATTGTCTCTGTCTGTTCAACAGGAAAATGAAAAAAATTTCAAGCACCTTTAGGAAAAATCAAGCTAATGATTCTATTTCTGTCAAACCAAGAAGCCAGGCTGAGGAGTAATGAGCAGTATTAATGCTGTCACTGCACCATACTAATGGTACTAATTCTGTCAAAGTAAGAAGCCAGGCTGAGGAGTAATGAGCAGTATTAATGCTGTCACTGCACCATATTAATGGTACTAATTCTTTACACAAACACAATTCTTCTTTTAACATTCATGGTGACTAACATTTCTAATTAGGTATATTACCCATTACCAAAAGATTCCATTAAACCGTGATATATTGTAGGTACCTTCCTCAGAATTTACTGTAAAGGAAAAGGGAAATGCTCCTGGATCTAGTACTGGGTAAGAAAGTGGAATATGGACACTCTGCTGGACACAGAATGGTTTAGGATAGCCAGTTTGGATTTGTACTACTCTCTTCCAAAAAATGAAAATAAATGTGTTGTCTTCATTCAAAATTGAGCTTGAGATAAGCAATTTATCACTGTGCATTTGTAGCTTTGTGTGGAAAGGCCTGGAATGCAGGCAGAAATAGCAAACTGAAAAAGGTCCTTTAATTACAATATATAACAGATGCACCCGGCACTTTCTCTTTTTCATCTCAATCATCTGCAATCACAGACAAAGCCTGTCATCTGAAATTATGGTTGACTACTGAGATTCAATTTTGAGGCCATGTAGGACATCAGCATATCATTTAGAAACCATATCTCCACAACAACACCTTCTCCACTATCAACTCTCGGTGAAGCGTGAATGGGAGTATGTTTAGTATAGTGGCCAAACGCTCCCACGTGTTTTTTCATTCTGATGGATGAATTTACTTCAGTTGTGACTTACCCCATGATACACAATTTTAAGGCAAACCCACATTTCCCAAATGCCATTTTAAGTAGCTCTTTCTAAATACAATCAACAAACTTTTTGTTGGGTTCTCAAATATAGCTAGGATGATCCTTTAAATTACTTTCTAAATTAAAGATTCTCTTTATAGTGAAACAGTTTTTCTCAGTACCAAAGAAAGAGCAATTGCCATAAGACAAAGTAGACATTGAGACCACAGCAGACTGCATGTGTAGAAACACCGTTCTGTTTATGTCCGAACAAACCTTCTTTTTGTCCTCATAGTTCTCATACAATTTTTGTTGCATGATTACAGGCAGTCCCCAGGTTACAAACAAGATTTATTCCTGAGTCTTTAAATCACATCTGTAGGCATGGCGTAACAACAGGCAACACTGATTCGCAGACGACGCTCACAGCTGGAGGGATGCAGTAAACAATGAGGTCAAGGTTACTACTGTACCATACACGTATAACCACTTATAGGCCATATATACTTCCAACAGTCAGGTAAAGTTGGATTACTACATGTACAATATAATAATCTATAGCACAAGTGTGTCTGCTGGGGTGTGGCATGAGTAAATCCCAATAATCCAATAACTGTGTGTGTGTGTGTGTGTGTGTGTATCTATATTCATGAACTGATGAACTGCTGAAGCCATGTAATGTTTTCATGATAGTGTGTTCATTATTATGAACCATTGTCCATCCACCTATCCAGGGTCATGGGGGGGTGGGGGGTCCAGAGCCTACAGATGCAAGGGTGGGAACAACCTATCACCGGACACACTCACACATCATTCACTCACACATATACACCTACAGGCAATTTGGCAACTCCAATTAACCCCAGCATGTTGGAGCCATGGCAGAAACTCAAACCTTGGTCTCAGCAGTGTGAGGAGAGAGTGCTACCCACTGCACCACCATGCCACACCATGAACCACTGCATTTAACTCAAATTGTAATATAACATGCTTTATGGCAGTCAGTTCTTAAGTAGCAGTTTTCTGTAAGTTGGACATTAACCGATGGACTTACTGTAGTCCCAAGTTTACTCTAAACGTAAACTATTTCTAATTACATCTCTACTCTAGATCTTTTTTGGGTTAAATTTAAATTTCATAACTCAAACAAATTGCACAGACGAAATGTTACATCACTCCACAAACTATTGCAATGAGGCACACTCTGAGATGGCAAAGAGACCAAAAACATTCAGTCCTGTCATTTGTATATGATTTTGGAACTCCTGGTGCCCCCTCTGCTAAGGCAACAGGATCTTTGTCCCAACAAATGACTATTGAGCTTTACAAAGAAACAGGCCTGCACCTGTGAGCTCATAACAGGAGAGACAGTAAAGAGTTCACCTGGTGCATAAATAGAGAAGAGTGGAGGCCCTTTGGTAAAAGCGTACCTGTGTGATGTTTTGGCTTGAAAATAAGATTCAATAGTTACAGTTGTTCTTTCACTCTTTTTGCTGAAACAAATAAGCAAAAGTAGAATAAAGGCTGATTTAAAGGGCATACAAAATGCCGTACTTTATGCTGTACCCTACGGTGTACCCTACATCGTACCCAATGTTGCACCCTACGCCATACCCAAAGCCGTACCCCAGAGTCCTGCACGGGTCCACTTTTGGAGACCCGTGCCTGCACAGTACAGCACCACACCCGCCCGTGCACCCGTGATAATTTCAAAGTTAAATCCGCACCCCCCGGGCCCGTTAACATTCCGCCCGTACCCGTGATAAATTATACACAATTATTTTTTCTATGCACCTCTCAATGGGACAAGCGCTAGGCCTACATGAATTTTGAATTGAAACGAAAAAGTCTGTTTAACACAAAATGAAATCAGATAGATCTAAGCTATCCATACTGTAACGAGCGTGAAAGAGAGAACACGACGACACGCTTCAGCAAGGATTCAGATGTGAATGTTTGTCGAGGCGGTTATCTAATGGTGCGTTTGTTTTTCTCTCGGAACTCGGAA